CGTTTGCTTTTTGCTATCTTAGCATTTTAGTTTTATGCCAACAGGTGATATTGAGGACAATCTGTACATTTTTACTTGAACTGGTTTGAGTCTTGATCTGTTCAGACATGGGCTGGTGTCAGATGCAAATCCTGTTGTTGATATGTGAAGCCACTCATTCTCTCCAAGTGTCAGTACTGGTCACACTGATACTTACAGTGTTCTAGTACATTGTATGCAGGATGACTGTTGGCAAGACGTGCACCAATAAATGTGACATTTATTGGATGTTTGTTGGTGGTTGTCACGTGTCTCATGAAAACTAACTTGCCATAGTTATCCAAATCAGTTTTAATTGATCTTTTTAATTAGGTTTTGCTAAAAATCATTTCAAATGATCAGGTCAAATAAACTGTCTGCTACATTTTGTATCTTGAACAACAAGAAATTAAGTACATGTAGAAGCTTAAATTGATTAACTTAACACAACATACCACATTGGTCATGTTCAAATGGATATTAGAGTTCAAAGAAATGCTGGTTAAGATCAATAAGTTAAAGTGAACAGACCTGTTTCATTAACCTGAAATAGATTCACAAGCTCAAATAACTGCCCGAAACAGTCGAATCAATCAACGGATCCAAATCAAAACTAATTAAAAGAAAGGTTCACACAACTATTTTAATTAACTTAAAATAGATTTGCAAGTTCAAACAACTACCCTGAGGAGCTCAATAAATGAACAAATCCAAATCAACCAAACTAACGCAAAGGTTTTCACAACAAGGGATGTTTAATCAAAATAATCAAGATTTTCTTTGTTAGGTTTTAGTTAACATTGTTGAAAAGATGAGTTTTTTTTCTTACATTTAAAAGTGTTCCTAATAATTTACACCCCTCATGTATATAAATGCAAAACATACAGAACACCATTAAATGTCATGCACTCCAGGACACCAACACGACAAATTACAACCTCAAAAACAAACAACAACAATCCCCTTCTTGGTGGCAAAAGCTAAAATTATGTCTTTACTCCATCCATCCACAACCAATATGCACTTATCTTTTTAGAGCATGATGGGAGGCTGGAGTCGATGCTAGCTGACACTGGCTGAGAGGCGAAGTACAGCCAAGCAGACTGCCAGTCAATCACGGGGTGACATGAAGCAGCAGACACATACACACACACACACACATCCCCACCTACTGTGTTGACAGTCAACCTAAGCTGCATGTCTCTGGACTGAAATGTTAAAATTCTGAACGAGGAGGCAGACGCTCTACCTCACTTTCCCTTACTCTCACTTTTCTTTCATTCTGGCCGTCCTCAGTGTTCATGGTCTCTGATTTGGCTTCACAAACCTCTTGTGGGAGTTCAGGTACATTCTACAAATGAATGTCTCGAACAGTAACTTGAAGTTGACTGTTGCACGAAACCTACAGAGATGTGTGAGTAACACCATCTAGTAAGACCACACACACACTCACCCCCGTCTCAGAGGTTAATGAGTGCAGATGCCTGCACTGTTCCTCCTCATCTGGTCACGTCAAGCGATGGGGTCGAGCATCATGTGTGAAAACAGAGGCTGTTGACATTTTTGATGAGGGCGACGTTGTCGAGGGCGGCCATCTTTACTGAGGGCACCTGACGAGCGCTCGTTGCGGCAGAGGTTCAACTCGTGCGTGAGTCCCGAGTGTGTGTGTGTGTGTTTGTGTTTTGTGTGTGACTAAGCGTGGGTGGGAGAGGAATCATTCCCAGCATGTGTCCGTGTGCGCAGGAGCGTGTGTGGGTTTGACTCATACTTCTATCTTCAGAACACCATGCGGATGTCACAGTGAGAACAAGGGCAGTAATTAACTACAAAAGAGGTAGCAAAGGCAACACGGAAACAACACTGTGACACACACACACACACACACTAAATTGCTAAAACTTTAATTTTCCATGCTTCAGTTCTTCAAGAGCCAGACACTATTGGGGCTAAAAATACATTTTAAAAAAACTGACCCTGAAGTGTTTTCTTCCTGCTGTATGTATTCCCACAGGCCAATAAGAATAAAGCGGTGTATAGAAAACGGATGGATGTATGGACTGATTGATGCTATATTGCAATATCAAAAATACTAGATATATGCACAAGACGACTTGAATAACTATATTTGGAAAGATGTAGTCATTCTAAAATGATTGGGGTGATTTTGTCGGGAAGTGCTTTTGCATCAAAACTAGGATTAAAAAAAAAAAAGATTCTTTCTGTGAATATATTTTTTTTGCTATGCATTATATGGTGTAACAACGACAAAAGCTTGGATATATTTTCTTTTGTTGTGGTTGGCATTCAGACTTGGCTTTTAATTCCAAAACCTTGCGGTGCCAATTTAAACGGTCAGACTAATTAGTCATGCTGCGTGGAGGCAACAATTTCTCTTGCAACCTAATCTTACTTTTTAGCGCGTCTGTGTTCCTCGCTCATGTAGCTGTGCTGCAAACTCTCTCTTGTAAACAAGGTTTAAAACAAACAGACAAAAAAACAGGGTATAGTGTGTATACAAGAACACTTCAATCAGATGAAACTATACAAAAGCTGACAGACTCGTACGGTTCTAATTTTCCATTACTTATCTACGAGTCTAAGGAGCAAAAACGTTGTGGTATGTTTGAGTTAGTTTGACTTATTTAACATCACAGTTCTTGCAACATAACTGTTGCAAGTGTGCACTTACTTTGTCTGAGGTTCCTCATCTTATTTTTTTTTTCCAAATGGTTCATGCCAAGTTTCATATCATGCAAAGGAAGGCCAAAGAACAGGACTACCATCACAATGCTATTGCTGGCTGTTCTGTTGTGACATATAGGAATCTGGGAGAAATGTATATCTTGTATTTCGTTATATTTCCAGTTAAGAAAAACTTTATCTACAGCTGATTCAAACGATCAGCTCATCATCAAGCTCTGCAGAAGCCTGACAACGATCCTGATCATTTGAATCAGGTGTGTTGGAAGAGGGAAACATCTAAAACATGCAGGATTGCGGCCCTCGAGGACCAGGATTCGACACCCGTGATCTACAGTGTAAAACTAAACATTTTGGGCTCTAATTTTTTACACACTGGGTGACACCGATCAAAACTGCAAAAGGTCCTGAGCAACTTCTGGCGTCACAGTAAATACAAAAGTAATGGGGTAGCACATGACGATTGCACATGCATCCATCGACAGCATGAGTGGTCACTGACTGCTTTGACAGAATTTGAATTAAATCGACGGTCTTTTCCGTCACAACAAAACACCAAATGATTCTTTATTTCTGTTGATTCAAAAGCAACGTCATGATTTTCATTACATTTTTAATTGGCAATAACTTTGGCAAATTCAAACTAATTCAAGGAACACCGATTTGTTTTTTCCTTCTTTAATGGGAGGGTGTGAATACATTTGAGGACGACTGTATGTCAAGGCAAAATGATATCATTATATATCCTGTGCTGTCTGATTTTTGGTGCACAGATTGGAAAAGAAATTGACATTTCCAAATTCCCTGCTGGTGCTTTCCAGTAAAAGCAAAAGCGAAGACGCAGATGTCGACCATATGTTACATCACCTGCCTGATACGACATCAGTCTCAAGCAAACAACTACGAGGCCTGACTGCAGAGGAAAACTCCAGCAAAGTATGGCAACAACCACAGTCTCTCACACACACACACACACACACACTCCCCGAGCTCAACATCACACACATGAGTAAACAGCTGCCGCCCTCGGGGCAGATGTGCTAACTGAAACAACATCCACCTACACTCACTTCAGTCAAATCCATGGGAGAATAGTGTGCGCGCATACACAAACACAAACACACACACACGGTGGCACACATGACCAATACATGACCAGACAGTTGCCTACCAGGCATTCCACGGGTAAATCTACACAACCAGGCACGCTCACACACACGTGCTGAGGGTGGTCCGTGTGCTTTCAGAGATCTCCTCGAGTGGTTCTATGTTAGACCAAAAAAACAAACCCTGAAAGCACCTGCTGGCCTTCCAAGATGCAACTACTTGACAAAGAATAACAGTTAAATTGAAAACCACAACTGTAAAGCCAAAATGACGCCTGGGGGAATTCAAAACCACAATTAGTCTCTCTGTCCCCACCATTTAGCCACGATGAGATCTGAAAAACGGAGGCATGAAAATGACGTTTCATCTCAGTTGCATCACTTCTATAAATTCTCAGCTGCCACTCCACCAAATTTCATGCAACACAACCAAAGCACAACAATGCAACAAAAAGGCGGCTTCTTCAGTGAAAGTGCCAGACACCTTCTAAAAATGGCGGCCGATTGAGTTTAACAACAGATGCAGCCTCATCCTGGTGAATATTTATCAAACCACTGCAATGGCTCCGGCCACACCTCAAGAAACAAATTACTATTCCTTCAGATTGTTTTATAAATACACATTTTAGAAGCCTGAATTTATTCAATAATGCTCACAAAAAGGAAAACTGTATCGACTGGAAGAAAAATAAATCAACCTCTGTGTAGCAGCAATGAGTCTTTTCAGCTCAGAATGAAGCCTTTAAGCATCTTGGGACCTGATTGCTGCAACCCCTTGGGAGGGTCCCAACCCCAGGAATGGACTGCACTGGTCCATCAAAGGTGTCAGAGAAAAGCGGCAAATCTTGGTTATTCTGCTCGATAAATGACGCCGAAGACCATCAGAACTGACACTGACTAATTTTCTTTCGATGGCTGTATTGATTTTTGGACTAACCATATTGATATTCCATTGGTAAGCCATGATTGAGCCTGTGACAGATTGACTCAGATAGCGCGCTAATTTGTTTAGACTGAATTATGTATGGATTTGTGTCATGAAACCTATCAGTTCGGATTGTCGTGTTGTCATTGCCAGCTATAAAGCCAGTCATTCTCATTTGTAAAAAGATTAATTATCTGTCACCGTGTTGACTCACATCAGTGTTCAAATGAAGAAACTCGTCTTATCCTTACCTTATGATGACATACATGACCAGGAAGTTTCCCACCAGGCCGATGACGCAGACGATCATGTAGACGACCACGATGGTGACCTTCACCCCGGTCGGCAGCAAGGCGTCGGTCTCGTTGTAGGAACTGCTGAAGTTGTTCTGGAAAAGCGAGTCGTTGTAGAGCTGCAGCTCCGCCAGCAGGAACTCGTCTGGGAACTCCATCTCTGATCAGGGGGAAGGTTTACACCCTACCTGAAAGAAGAAAGAAAGGTTTTGCTGACTTCCAGTTTAACTTCTGAAGTTTCAAACAGAAGATGAACTCCACTGTGGCTTCACCGACAACGCGCACTTCCACCCACACTGGACCCGCGTCCATCAGCGGGTGAAGTCGGAGCTGAAAGTTGCCGTTGAGTTACTCCGTTAATATTAAATCTCCAGTTTGAATCCAAAAATTGTTTTTTTATAAGCTCTGACACTATGTGAGCTTCTCTTTTAAAGTCTGCCACATTAAACACCAGCTCCACAAACACCAGCATGGAACTAAAACGTGTAATTAAGTTGCAGCTGACACATGGACTCTGAAAGTGTGAAACACTGCGGTCAGCAGTCCTACCAACAGTGCACGCACCGCCCAAATTAATGACTGGCTCAATGAGCAACAATTACTATCCTTAACCAACTGCAGGTGTTTGTCGAATTAACTCTCAGAACCTCCGAAACTGCTGTTAAAAAAAAACAAAACTGAAAGAATCATCAGATTTCCAACATTTGTGATGTTCAAAGCTGCCAGGAAGGTAACCAAATCTGAACTTCTGGTCATGATATTTCACCAAAATCACTTTACTCTAGTTTAAAAAACCAAAATTGCCATGAACTGGTGGCTGCTAGAGACACAGACCTGTGAGCACTAATTGTCACAGAAAATGTAAATATATTGGTTGCATGTTTTGTTTTTTGGGGTTTTTTCCCCTGTATTTTTAATGTATGTGTACATTTTTATATGATGTTTTTTTTTTTTAATTTTAGGCTGGCTTTGATAACTGCCAAAGGGACTATCGATGAAAAGTAGCTTCATTTAGTTAACTCGGGCACATTTACATTGTACAATGTAAATGTGGCTGAATGTGTGTGGCTCAGGTAGAGCGGGTTGTCCTCTAATCGCAAGGTTGGCGGTTCGATGCCCCGCCCCTCCACAGTCGAAGTGTCCTTGGGCAAGACACTGAACCCGAAGTTGCTCCCAATGGCAGGCAGGCACCATGCACGGCAGCTCTGTCGCCATTGGTGTATGAATGTGTGTGAATGGGTGAATGAGAAACATTGTAAAGCGCTTTGAGTGCCGCAAAGGTAGAAAAGCGCTATATAAGTGCAGACCACTTACCATTTGCAGACCATTTACAATGTTGATTAATATGCATTGTCCCTTGTCATATCAATCAATCAATCTTGTCAAACGAGGAAAATTCTGAGACTTTTAGCTGAACTGGGCTAAACTGCATGCTCTCCTAGCAAATGGAAGACAATATTGTAAAAACTAACTAATCATACTCCCTTCTTTTCTTGAGATTCATGACATTACACCTATTTCATACTGCATATAGTACATTCTGGAGTCCCCTCTACTTGTAGACATGTTTGTGCTGTTTCCATAGAGGTGCAGGACTTTATATAAATGTGAGGAAGAAAAATACAACAGGAGGAGAGAGAAAAAAATAAAAACGACCCAAAACTGTTTGGAGTTTAGAGGATTAACAATAAAAACCTTTTAACAGCAAGCATCAAGTTGACTTTTCCCACTTTTCCGGCCGCCAAAAGGGATAAAAAGAAGAAACCAGCTTGATTCAGGGCGAGCAGGAAGAGAAGATGCAAAGATAAATGGAAAAGAAGGGGAGGAGAAAAAAGAAAGCTGAAGAGTAGCAAAAACAAGAGAAGAGGAATCGACAGCATCTATTAATGCACTGCCATGTGAGGGATACATCAATGCCAAGAGATGTGAGAGAGAGATTAATAGAAAGAATGAGGAAGACAGAGAGGGGAAGATGACATCAATATTTATGGATGTTAATGCAGTGAAACTGTGGTTGTATATTTGGGTATGTATCACTGAAATTCAGCAGCAGAGGAGCCCAAAGCAGACATTGTTTAGTTGAGGAAAAGGCTCCATTAGCGGCGGTCTGGACGTAAAGCGCTAACCTTAAACTTAGGGATCAGATTTTGAGTAAAAGTCCAAGTTTTAATAAACAAGTTAAATACAGGAAGCAGCCAGTCCAGACAAGGAGCAGGCAAAACCCAAGAGACAGTCCAAAAATCCCCAAAATACACAATGCATCAAGACTTACGGAAGATCAGGCAAAAACAGAACCCAGACCAGGCAGGGGTCGTACACGAGAAATCACAAAAATTACCGCAAAGGAATGCTCAGCGTCAGGAAGTACAACAACAACCTGACAACTGAGAGAAGATCCGCCGTGTGAATGCATAATGAGTGAGGAGATGTCTGATTTAACACGTGCGAGGAACTGAAAACTAAACAAAAGATGGAAGTCAAACTAATCAAGGAGCATGAAAGCAACACAAAACAGAACATGATCACTCAGAGTCTTGTATGTTTTTGTTACGGTCAGTGTTAGATGCTGGTTTATAAATGGAAACAAACTGCATTTTCCCTTGTTGAAGACGACTTTAGTGGTTTTAGTGCAGGAGGAAGGTGAAGATAGCGATCAATGACTTTTCCTGGTAGGCGACTGTATTTATTATTTTCTTAACCAGCCGTGTTACAGGCACTGTTTGGAAAAAAGCATTTACGTATTTGTGTATGTTACCGGTATGTATTGCATTAAAAGTTTAAAAAATCTTTCTGTGTAGCATTTTCTGTGTGGGCTGCAAGGTGGCTCTGTGGTTGGCACCGTTGCCTCGCAGCAAGAAGGCCGCCGATTTGCCGGTTTTAGTGAGTGTGGCTTATAGTCAGGTGTGTTCAGTAGTCCAAAAATCATGGTACATTGAGCCACATCAATAAAAAGAAAAAGAAATACAGATAAAGGACTGATCTCACCTTGATATATTACAAATAAAGACAGAACCGTCGACTGGACTAGTGACTTAAGTGATGAGACATGGAAGGTACACACTTGAGGCTTGTTAATGCCAATCAACTTTGTCCATCCATCCATTATCTATACACCGCTTAATCCTCACTAGGGTCGCGGGGAGCTGGAGTCCATCCCAGCTGACTCAGGGTGAAGGCAGGGGACACCCTGGACAGGTCACCAGTCTATCACAGGGCTACACTTCGAGACAGACAACCAAGCACACTCACATTCACACCTACGGACAATTTACAATCACCAATTAACCTCAACATGTTTCTGGACTGTGGGAGGAAGCCGGAGAACCCGGAGAGAACCCACGCTGCACGGGGAGAACATGGAGACTCCACGCAGGAAGATTCCAGTGCCCCCACCAGGACGCGAACCGGCAACCTTCTTGCTGCGAGGCAACAGTGCTACCAACTGCACCACCTTGCAGCCCCAATCAACTTTGTGTTTCCACTATGTTCCCTCATGATGGCTTGCATCTAAAGGTGAAACTATTGAACATTCTGTCAAACAATTATCCTATTTGTACTGAGGAAGTATCTACTGTTGATGCATGCTACTGATATCATTTTATGCCAATTTAGTGTTGGCCCATCTCTCCGCCCAGACATCCTCACTAAGCAGAGTTTGTAGCTCTACAGAAACCTCGCACTCCTCTGATCTCCATCATTGCTGGAGGGTGATGATGAAAGCTTCTCTTGAGAGAAATTCAAATGTTTGGTGAAGAGGCAGCGAAGCCTGAAGATGAGCCTGTAATCATGATAGTGGACTCTTGCCGGATGGCCGGGCTCGTCTTAAAGATGAAAGTAACAAGCTCAGAAGGAGGCCGTATACATTGCAAGGATTCGGTTCAGGACGTCTCTTGTGGGGGGTATTCTGGGACCATCCGACAGAGAGGACACCCGAGGGCTGAGGGGATTACATATTCCATTTGACTTGGGTCCACCCGGCGTCCCTAAGGGAGCGCCGGGCTGTAAAGACAAATCCCTTAAACACCGCCTCTGGGAGTCGTACCTGGAAAAGTGTCAAGAAACGAAAGGATATACGTAGGAATTACTTCAGATTAAATATAGCGCCAATGATTATCATAATACAGGAACATGCTTGTCAGTGTGTTTATAGGGTGGAGGTACGTTGCACTGATTCTGTATAAACACAAGGTATATCAGGCACTAGCTACTGGGATAGCTCGGCTCCACTGCAACACCCCGACACCCAAGCTGCAGCAGCAATACATCAAAATGATGCGATGAACCCGGCGCCCTCCCTCTCCCTCTCTGCGTAATCATGAATATTCATCAAATCAAAACAGCAAAGTAACTCTGCTGTGTTGCCGAATTTCCCCCAGGGTTACTGCCAGGCTTAATATACGTGCTTTATATATGCTCTAATATCTCTCTTTCTTCCCTCAACTTTCCCTCCATCTCGCTTTTTTTTTTCTCCTCCCTCACCTCCCCACTTCCTTCATTCTGACACAGTCTGTTTTGTTTTCCAGGTTCAAGCTCTGCTTTAGCGGCAGTGTGTGTGTGTGTGTGTGTGTTTTGGCTGCCTGAGGTTTGATGAATACGCCTTTAAACTTAGATCCTTAAGTGTGTGTCCATGTAAGGCTGCAGTGGCACTCTGGGTGGGCCGCTGTGTACCACTTCCAGTATGTGTGAGAGGACGAAGAAGCACTAATGACACTGATGTTTTTATTACTGCACGCGGGAAAGTAGCCAACTGGTTTTCACACTTCCAACCCTGTTAACTACAGCAACAAAACGACGATGAAAATATGAATCCAGCAGCAGCAACTCGGATTCATTGTGGCTATTAATTACAGTTGCATATTTGTGTCGCTTAAAGAGATGATTTAGTCTTCTCTGATTCCTGCATGTTGTGTGGTGTTTCAAACGATAGCAGCAACAAGTGTCGACAACTGGAGTCAAACTGGGGTCACTGAAGTCCCTCCTCTTTTCAGTCTGCGCTGTTGGGGTCTTCCTGCCGACTCCGTTGTCCTGATAAACATCCAGGCAAGGCTGCGACATGAGTTATACGTGAAAGCTACTCAAACAGCAGAAAGAATAAACTCACTGAGAACTTTATTAGGAACGCCGCACTAGAACAGGGAAGAGCCTCCGTTTGTTGCCA